CTCTTTCCTTTCCTCTGCATTTCTCTCTTTATGTCTTATATCAACACCCAGTTTCCCCCCCTCTCCTGCCTCTCTCTATGGGAGATCCCTCAGTGAAACGTGTAGTGACATCACCTGGTCCACAGTACCGGGGTATCTCTTTAATCTTAATCTCTTCCAGGCATCTATCCTCTCCTTACCTTCTGCCGCTTACCATCCCCGCCTCCTCCTCATCCTCCCTCCCTCACCTCTCATTGTTGGATTCATGGTTTACTGGAGAGTGTCTGGTCTCCGGTCTGCCTGGGTTATGCTTGTGTATTATTAGGAAGAATTTACTCCATTAAAATTAAGGGACTTACCTATCACACTTACATAAAATTGATGGCCAGGTCCACATCTTTCATACTATTTTATCACTGGGTTTTATTGCATCCAATGCATAAAGCGGTTTCGGTTGCAGCCACTGACCATTCTGAAACACCCGTCTTAATAGCTAAATAAATTCTACCTTTATTGTCAGTAAGCAAACAGTTAAGAAGGTGAATAAATATCACTTTGGCATTTAATTTATGTGTGCCTCCCCGGTGCCGTGGCTGACTAGGTACTGAAGAGTACTCACATCATCAAAGTATTTATTTCTGTCCTCTGCTGAGAGGTCAGCTCATCTACTAAGCCATTATCTTTCACTTTCTTATTAGTTTTAACCTCAAGCTCATAAAAAGAAACTGTAAACAGCATAGTAAGAGAGCAGGCTCAACCAACAACTTTGTGAATTCCACAAAAACCTTTTTGCCTTGAGAATGAAAGGAAGAGGTTATGCCCCATCAGTGACTTTTGCAGCTGTCTAACAGTTGTAACATTTAAACTATACTTGAATACTTCGAGGATCTTCTCAACCCCAGCGTCACATCTTTCGATCTGGAAGCAGAGGCCGGGGGCTCGGAGGTGGACTCGTCCATCACCCAAGCTGAAGTCACCAAGGTAGTTGAGAAGCTTCTTGGTTGCAAGGCACCGGGGGTGGACAAGATCCGCCCTGAGTACCTTAAGTCTCTGGATGTTGTGGGGCTGTCTTGGCTGACACGCCTCTGCAACATCGCATGGCGGTTGGGGACGGTGCCTCTTGACTGGCAGGGTGGTGGTCCCTCTTCTTAAGAAGGGAGGGTGTGTTCCAACTACAGGGGATCACACTCCTGAGCCTCCCCGGTAAAGTCTATACCAGGGTACTGGAGAGGAGAGTTCGACCAATAGTCGAACCTCAGATTCAGGAGGAACAATGCGGTTTTCGTCCTGGCTGTGTAACTGGACCAGCTCTATACCCTCTTCAGGGTGGTGGAGGGTTCATGGGAGTTTGCTCAACCAGTCCACATGTGTTTTGTGGATTTAGAGAAGGCATTTGATTGTGTCCCCCGCAGCACCCTGTGGGTGGTGCTCCAGTACTATGGGGTCTGGGGCCCTATGTTAAGGGCTGTCCAGTACCTGTACGACCGGACCAGGAGCTTGGTTGACATTGTCAGCAGTAAGTCAGACCTGTTTCCGGTGCATGTTGGACTCTGGCAGGGCTGCCCTTTGTCACCGGTTCTGTTCATTATCTTTATGGACAGAATTTCTAGGTGCAGCCAGAGGCCGGAGGGAGTCTGCTTTGGGGACCACAGGATTTAATCTCTGCTTTTTGCGGATGACATTGTCCTGTTGGCCCCATCAAACCAGGACTTCCAGCGTGCACTGGGACGGTTTGCAGCCGAGTGTGAAGCGGCTGGGATGAGAATCAGCACCTCCAAGTCCGAGGCCATGGTTCTCAGTCAGAAAACGGTGGTTTGTTCCCACTGTGTCATCATCAATAAATATTGAGATGCACAAGTAAATCTCTCTGCCAAAGTTTTCTGCTTCATAGCAATCTGTTTAAAACTGCAAAATTGCATTTAAGTAATAGACCAGAACATGTGTGTGTGAATGGGAGGAAAAGAGAAAGGGAGAAAAAGAGAAAGGAATGACAAGAAAGATGCAATTATTTTGAAGGTCTGTATTTAGAGGACTCCTGAGAGCTACACATGGGTAACAGGCTTGTCTTCTCGTCCAGTTCTGCACAGTTTTTCTATGCCTACAAGAAAATCAGGCCAGGCACCAGCATGTGACTACATTTTCAATGAGAATTGATGTAAATGCTCCAGTTCACATGCATATGAGCCATTTCGTATCCTCTCCTGGTGGGAATAAATTATGATGACAACCTTGAGAGACACAGCTATAATTTTATCATATAAAAGGGAACAAAAACAATAAAAGATTGCTGTGAAGGATTGATGACAGATATTCTAAAATGCAAAGCCTTGGGGAAGAAACCAGTTGCAAAATTGGCCACATTTCACATCACTATCTGTGTTGTTGTTAAACACATTGACAGGGAATACAAAGCTTCTGAACATGGCCTGGTTATACTGGTTCAAATTTTACTGGCTTGGGTTGTGTGTGTGTACAATGTGATCCATTACAATAATACAGTGTGTGTGGTCGGTGGGTTTGGCCAAGTTCCAGCTGGGGAACATCTCTGAAAAGGACGATCAATGAGCTAGTCAACTGGCATTGTATGGTGGTCTGAAAATAACATTCCATGATTTACGAGATGTGAGCCTCTGCTCTATCCAGAAGTTTCACCTCACCTTCCGTTCAACGTTACCTCTGCTCTGCCCTTCTTTTTTTAATGCACCCGTTCCATATTTGTGAACAGGACACCACTTTCAAAAATTAGGTAGGTCTTTTTTAATTTAAGGTCTCTTCAGTTCCTTTAATTAAAAATGAGCAGAAAGGCAATCCAGTCTGATTACAGCTAAGCTCCCCTGAGCTTTCTGCCACTAACAAACATGGGAGTCTCACATTTTTGCTATGAGACTAAAAAGGATGGCACCTGTTGCAAAGTCCTCTAGGGAGTACTCTAGAAGTAGTCAGACTCTCAGTCACAGATACCCCTAGACAGGGGCATCAAGGGATGGGGGTTCATCTGTGTGTGCTCATGCTGTCTCCCAGAACTACCTTCCCACTGAGTCTCTCCATCTTCATTATATCCTGCCCTCCTCCTCCTTATTCATCTTTACCCAAGTCCACGCCTCCTGCATCCTCCATCCATGGCTGTAGTCCTGTTAGAGGTGGACTTTTCTCTTTCCCCTCCCTGCTCCAACAACCCTCACCACTCTTTCTCTTCCTCAGTAACTATGTGAGACGCAGAGAGTGGATGGATCCTGGCAGTCTCTTTATTGGCTTAGTTATTTCCACTGCATGCTCCCATGATCCCCTAAGAGGATGAGGGATGGGCAAGTATGGAGCACTGAAAGAGGGGAGTAGATGGAAGGAGTGGGTGGGCTTTGGTCAGGAGAGTGAAGAACTAAAGCAAGAAAACAAAAGAGAAAGAAACACACTTTGTCCTTGTTTCTTTTTTTGCATTCACCTTAGAGTTGCAGTCAGTGATCCTTTACACATGCATGGTGAAAGTCTGTTACACATACACACAGCTGAGAAGATGCAGCCAGTGCACACAGCGAACCCCTGCATCTTCAGTGCAGGCAGCAGAGTGGACTCTATTTCAAGCCTGAGTGCTGATATAAATCAGTCAATCAATAAGGAAAGAGATGCTTAGAGATGGGCAGCCACACAAAACAGCCCTCAGCACACACCAGTGTATTTTTGTGCAGAGTTCCTGTTTTGTTGTCATTAAAATCCTGGGTACACAGGTGTGTACCACTAAATTGGCTTAGAACTCAACACTAACTCTTTTTGACTGATAATGTGTGCCTTCTCAGTTTGCTGGTCTGTATTCCATGGGTTATTGCTGCAGTAACCCATGGAATAAAGTCAAACCGCCAGGCACTGGGCTGAAACACTCCCACTGCTGCAGCAAACCTACAACTTAAGTTACAACATTACCACACACAGAGCAAACTTCAGATTTAAGACATTGGCAAGATGCTGTATTACTTTACTAAAGTCTAATTTTCCTTCCATGACATCAGAGGCAAAAAACAAAATAGAGCACAATAAAAAGGGAAGGAATGGAAACCATAAAAAATAGAGCAAAAGATATCTGCTTAAGGAGAAGAGGAAGGGGGATTGAGAAAGATAAAGAGGTAGTAGATTGAGTCCTGCACCATGATGACTGGTGCAAGGAGCCTATTTGGCCAACTGACACATATTCCAACAACTGCATTCCCCCCCCCCCAAATTTTCCC